ATCAGTGGTGATCTGGCAGGAGGGAATAAGTAATAAAAAATAAAAACTAAGTTGATTTTTTCAGTCTAGTTTCATGATATAGTATATGTATAGTTTTGTGCTGAAATACCTGTCAAACAAAAAAAATGTCTTTTTGGGGGACTAATAGATCACCACTGAAACATTGACTGTTGTCTTTCAAAATTATTGAAAGAACATTGAAATACATACATTCAGTTCTCATTTGATTATTCTCTATAGCTATTTTACAGAGCTAACAAGAGCTTCCAAGAATTTGTGATAGACATATTTAATATCATACTGCATGTCATACCAATAATTGACAGCAATACATCCATGTGATTGACGAACATGATGATACCACAAAGATGGTAGGAACAAAGCATCTCCAGCATTTACTCTCACTTGTAGAGGTGAAGCATTTCTATAAGATGAATATCTCTTGAAGTCAGGAGCCAAGGGATCAACACATATCCATGGTACATCCTCTAACTTGTGCTCAGAGTCTTTCTCGATTAAAGGCTCTAAATTTTGGGGATTTATAACAAAATTTCCATGAGAGACTTCTAAATATGCAGCAGGGGGATACCGTTTGTAAGGAATCCAGGGACGATCTGTTGGTGGATGTAAAATGAAGTCTTTATGCCCACTTATGACACAATAAATATTCTCATATGGGTCTTTGTGCACTGCAAATACAAAGAGGAACATCAAACATGAGGAACTACCTGGCCCACTGCAAAACGCGAGAAGCCCCAACATCAGATGCCCCTTTCCCCTCAAACATGAAGAACCATCTGAAGTTATATGGGATAAAAAGATTTAGATGTACAACTTACTAGAAGTTACAGCCCTGCCATCACCAGCCCAAAAATTGACAGCGTCTGGGGTAGATCCAAATGCCTCTGTTGCCCAAGGTATATGCCTATCTATGTCCTGGAGGAGTTCTGGAAGTTCCTCTATCAAATTTGAATTTTGGCGTTGCAAATAATAGACTCCAGGATGCCTGAACAAAATTGACGCTTAAAATCACAATTGATTGCTTTTTCAAAACTTGCTGGGAATGACTCACTTACTTGTCAGGTTGATCCAAAGCCAGCCAAAATTCAGCAAACGTCATCGATCTTTCTTCAGGCATGACAAAGTATTCTCTGCTAGTTTTAGAATCAAAAGCCACAGCATCAGCATAACCATTAGGTGTAATGGCTACTATCACTTTCTTCTCACCCAATTTTGTGCTGAGGAATATTTATTTCATGTTATGCAGGCATTAGTGAACATTTAAAGGATTATGGTAACATAAAGAATAATAAATCATGTATTTGTGCCAAAACTCACCAAAAATAGTCTTTATTCCATTTCGCAAATGCTGGCCAGTGAGTGCAGGCATTTCGTATGAGAACAGGTTGATTAGCAGATACATATGATCTATAAAACTTCAGTGGAGTTATATCATTTACATTTATTTCTGGTATGCATATGCCATACTGAAATTCTGCAATTATAGAGAAAGAGATAAAAAGCTGTTGATTGGCACAACACTTCACAAAAATTCACATATTGTAAAAATTTACCTCTTGCTTCTTCCGATAGAGATTTAAATATTTCCTCCATACCATACAAATTCTGTGACTTGTTTAAATTACTTTTTTTAAAAAATAGGGACAGTATGATGATACAGCAGCAGAGTGCGCTCGTTTGGCTCACAGCAGACGAAACATAAACACAAGCCGGCTGCAGCATGCGCGGTGCGCACGCGCGGACAGGGGGGAGAGTGCGGACAGGTAACAAGTGTATCACAGGGGAGATACCGAATAGTCAAATTCAAATATCATCAAAAGGTCAAATACTGAGCTGAGCCATGCGATCAGCATCTATTTCCAGCTTTATTTGGACTGACAGACCTGGACAGTCTCAACTTAATGATCTTTGGTTGTATGCATTCAGTGAAGCCAATTAATAAAAAAGATACCACATACAGTAGTTCAAGGTTATTATTAAATTTTAAATACAGTACCAACAAATCAATATCAAAGAAATATACACAAATATACAGTCTTTTATATAACTGGCAGTTTACATAGCTCTACACATGCAATATGTCAACCAGTTATAGTATGCAGTAATTACTTTGGCAATATAAAGTGGATCTATCTAGGTATACAGTACATCAATGTTAAGGAAAATGTGAGCACCACCTCCTCACAACTACTAATATAAAAACATTTAATTGAATGGATCAATAATAATTTCAGATTAAAAGAGATGAACTAAATTATATGCAAAGATTAAAACAATGATAAATAATTTACCAATTTGTATTTTTTTTAAAACATTATATAAGTTAAGAAAATTTATAACAATCAACAATATTGCAGAATTCCCCGAACAATTATTGACGAAATATTTTCAGAATTAGTGCAGTATACACAATGGTAACTGGCCATTCACTTGAAATAAAGTTCAGGATTCAAAGGACATGGTTTCACAAAATAAAACTCTACATGTATTCACAATAGTACGTTATAGTTAATTAAAGTTGAATGAATGATTCATTTGGTAAAGGTGTCATTTAAAGGAACAGGAGCAGATGGGGCTTTTGGTACAGTCCTGGAATTGACAGCTGTAAATTAATAGTTAAGGATAAAAGATATACATAATTCAGGATGAAATTCTGAATGAAAAGAATTAATTAAATATGGCTAAATAAGCAGAGAGATAAACTGACCATTTTTTGGAAGTTTGATGGTAACGGATCTGCTTGCAGCATTGGTATTCCTATTTTCTTTGTTCCAGGCCATCTTCACCTTATTGGGTGTGTTTAAATTTGGATTTGGTTTAGCTCCAAGAGGCTTACGGTTAATACTGAGAATCTTAGCAGTCTGTTTCTGAGGCACAGGATTGGAGATAATTGCTGAAATTTTGAAAAAGAATGAGAAAAAGGTGTAAATATTTACACAATGTGACAATATGGTGACTACAAATAAAATCTACAAGGGAAACCAACATGAAACATTACCTTTTCTCTTGTCCACAATTCCTCCAACCGGTCTTTTAAGTCCAACACTGGACTTGGCAGGTACAGGTGCCGGTACAGCAAATGCTGGAGAATTAGTGCCCGTCTTTTTAGTAAGGGTAGTAGTCGACAGGGCACTTGTAGATGGTGAGATGGATGAAGGTTTCTTCAACAATGCGCTACTTAACAGCACAGGTGATATTGAAGAAACTTGTTTTTTTAGAGGGCCTACAACTGGAGGCGAGGAGGACGAATCCTTTTTCGACTCCGCACTTAATGGGGATCGTGGATTTGGAGACTTAAGAACTCTTAATGGAGATGAGTTGGAAGGGGAGGGGAATCTCTTGTGGTAAGGAGAGCTATTAGGTGAGACATGCAGTTGGGGTGATCTTCGGTATCCCTGGACAGTTTCAGGAACACTCAGTTTCATCACAGTTACTTTGGATGAACTTTCCTCCATTGAAAATGTATTATTTAACTCCTCAACTTGACAAACTTGGCCACTTGCAGCATTCTCCTTAGGTCCCACAGCCAGGGCTTGACCACTTGCTTCTGTCTTTTCAAATGTTTCATTAAGACAAACTTTTGATGGTTCTTCACTGTCTTTGACGAATGTAGAATTAAGATTCGAATCCCCATCAAAAGTTACATTTAGAGGTCGTTCTTTGTCTTCTCCGTCAGTCTCTGCAGCAGTAGATGAAATACTTGTGCTCAAAATGTTGTCCACCTTTGAGTCTAAATCTTCCATAGAGGCCAGCATAGTAGCAGTATCTATATCCTCAGGGACGCTTGAAGGATTTGATGAGCTAGAACACAGTGGGCTTTGAACAAGCACTTCATTTTTAATAGTGTCAAGTACATTTCCCTTTGGCACTAGTGAAGGCAGTGATGGTTGTGTACTGTCTTTTGTGCATTTAAGTTCATCAGTTGTAATGGAAGTGACAGGTGTCTCTTCAGACTCATCAGCTGGATGAAAGACCGATATCGCACTTCCTGTCCTCCACTGAACAGACTTCAAACCTTCAAGACCACGCATGGCAGCCTGAAATTAAGAAGTTTCATGAAGAACAATGTAAAAATAAACAGGTTTATGAATAAAAATACACTTGCTAATATATCATACCTCATGTTGGCTAACTAAATCATTAGTCATGTGGCCGTGCCCTCGAACAAGGTTATAGTATTTTCGGAAGAGACCACTGACAGTCTTTACTACTTCATCTTGGCTCTCAAATCCTTTGTCCAAATATTCAACCAACTTCTCAAGGTGTTGACATTTAAGAGATAGCTCAAGATTAAGAAACTGGAATATTTCAAAGACCATATTATAGACAAAGCAGAGAACGCTAAATGGAAGAACTGTGACTAGAGTTGTGATTTAAAGCAGGAAAACAAACCTCTAATTCAAATGCTTTCAAATGTGGAGCAACTTCATCAAAAACACCTAACCTTTGAAGTTCCTCTCGAATTCCTTCGAGCCTTTTGTTAATTTCACTCTCATCTGCTGACACTGCTACCTGACATTCATTCACTGAGTTTAGGCGGCCTCTGAACTGATCAACTGATTTGTCAACTTTAACTTGGACCTGGGGATCCATTATAATTGTGAGAATAATTAATAATTGGAAAAATGAACAAGGAAAAATTGAAACATTCAATATGTATATGAAATAAATTTACCTGGTTGAGTCGAGTTGGTGTTGAACTCATGGCCTGCACTCTATCAATGGCACGCTGCTTCATTTTAATCCTCCATCTGAGAACTTTATCTGATGAATCCATGTTAAGAAACCGTTGGTGAAGCTTTGCCTTTTGATTGTAAAGATCTTCTGCCTCATTTCGAAGCCTCTCTAATTCCTCAGTTTTCAGCTTCTAAAATGAGAAGAAAAAGCCTTTTGATGATATTTCAGAAGAGAAACACAATGACAGTGAAAGAACAACACACGTACCAATCCCTTAAAAGGTGACGTATTGACACCTATTGTTGTTGTAGAAGTTGCTGTCTTCATCTTGCTACTGATGGCTGCAACAGCTGCAGCTACTGCAGGTGGCAAGTGTGACTGGGGAGGGGATGGTAAAGCTGAATGTGCTGGGGGAAGAACTTCAGATGGAATACTTAGGTTTCGAGCCTTATATTCTTCAAACTCTTTCTTTATCTTTTCATATTCAGATTTTAAACGTTCGTTGTCAGTTTTTAAACGCCCATTGTCAGTTTGCAAGTCTTCAACCATTTTGATGTAATGAGACACATGAAGTTCAACTGAGACAACATTCCTTTTAATCTGAAAGAGTGTTAAAGTATTAAACCTGTTCAAATAAGCTAATACACACAACAGAAAATGTGAATTTCCATACCTGACATTTTATACTTTTGGCTCTAGTGGCATACTTAAGGGTGTTGTGGGTATCTTCTATTGTTGGATGAGCTGGAGAGATATTGGCAATCATCACTGTTTGGCAGTTTCCTCCAAGTGAATCCTTCAGCAATCGTGTCAGTTTTGAATCTCGGTATGGAATATGGCGTTGTCCATCAGCCAAGGCATTGATGCAATTTCCTACGACCAAATTAATTCATGAAATTCAAGAACACCCAATGGGTACTAGACAGAAAAGTGAATTAAATTTACCTAATGCCAGCAAAGATTTATTGATGTTGGAACCTTCTTTGAATCTAACTCCAGCACCTCCTGTAGCTGCCCCTCGTTCTGATCCAGCAAGATCTATCATGGACAATTTCACCATTTTGGTCTGAGCAGTTGATTTAGTTTTCATTCTTATATAAACCTGTGGTAAAAATTGTGATGAGATGAGATGCAAAATGGATAAATTTGATCAGAGTTGGTAAGAATATCAGTACCTGGAACACAGCATGAGACCTTGATGATTCAGCATTCGCATCTGTTGGATGTTGTGACCGGTTCTGGTTTCCATGTTCCAGTAGTTCAAACATGCGATTGGGATCTGATATTCGTTCCATTTTAAGGCCAGCAACAACTACCCCAGCACCGTCCTCTCTCAAAAAGAGAGCACCAGAAGAGGGGTTTAGAAGGTCCTTCACAGTTTCATTATAAACCTAAAAAAAATAAAAATATAGACAACCGAGACAGTGTTTAATACCTGCAATAATCCTGTTTAAATTACCTCCAGATAAGATACCCCAATTTCAAAGTCCTTGTCATGTTTCTGGCTTTCCATCTGGGCAAAAAGCTCCACCATTGTACGGAATGTAATACCAGGGTTTTCATGAGTCCCCAGCATAGTAAAGGTTTTCCCTGCCCCAGTTGCACCATAAACAAAAACTGAAAACAGATTTACAATGTTATACCAACAATTGCATTCTAATATACACAGTTAAGAAGTAAAGCTCACCAGAGCAGTTAAAACCATCCAAAACAGAATTTATAATGCTCTTTGTGCTTCCTTCAAACACATTTTCATTGTTTGCTTGGGGACCAAAAACACAATCAAAAAGGTATTGTGTATTTTTATTCTGCTTTTTTAGCATATCCCTGCCTTTCTGTTTAGATCCATGAAAAAAAAAGGTTTCTTCTTCTCTCTTGGGATCAAAAACAATCATTTTGTCATCGACAACATCCACAATTACCCTGGTAAAAAAAAGATATAAATAATGAAATACATGAAATAGTTCCCAAGACACCTAAAAAGTCAAACAAAGCTGGTACCTTGAATTGTTCTCTGTTTCACGTTGGCTCAAAGGCCGTACTCTGACAACCACTTTGACATTGGCAGAGGATCGTCTGACAGGTCCTCTGGATGCTCCTGGACGTGCTGAGGGAACTGGTCTAGATGATGCTTGGAAAGAAGTAGAAAGGGCACGTCGAGGAGAGCGACACAGTCCCACACCCGATCTAGATAGAGCTTTTCGGGCTGGGGAGTAAGCCCTCCCGGGATCCTTTCTTTTAAGTACCATCTTACTAATCTTAGGATGTCAAAGGCATGCCTGAAATATGAGTTGAGAAATTGTGTTATTGTACAATGAAAAACAGATTATACTAAGTTATTTCCTAGTCAGTCTCAAAAGGCATACCAAGCAATATTTTTGCTGGTCAAATAATTATGAAATCCAGCATGAGGTTCAACACTAATACAACTTAACTTTACTACTGTATTTGTTATTGATTGCAATGATTGTGGTAATAAATGAATTATGGTTTGATTTGAGACAGATCAAGACAGGTAGAGGTAGTAAAAGCTTATACTACTGTCAATAACAGATCAAATAAAAGAACATGAAAAGACAAAATTTAGAGGTTTGAACGCTAGATTCGAAGTTGTTAGTGAGTGAAATCGTTTGGACGCTGAATAAAATGGAGACAACAACAAACAAGCCAAGGAAGCCCGCGGTCGACAGGCGCTTCTACTTCTAATGTAATTAAAAGTACTTAAAACATTTGAGAAAGTATAGTATCGTATTTCGCAAGAAGAAATTTCTTATACTTACGAAGGTCCGAACAACGATGGATTTTATGTTCTAAGAAAGCGAGATGTGTAAAATCAAAAGCCGGTTGACCACGCGTGACCGTTGCTTCTTTCAAACTCACTGTAAACCCTAAATTCAAACATGGAGTAGAGATTGTACCAACCTTAATAAAGAAATAATGAAATATAATTATTTTATTTCCTTTCGTTTACAAAGCAAGCGAGAACGAAATCATAATCTGTCTTCTATTTTTTATGCATAAGTGTGTTAAAATGTTAATTTACTTCAGCTACGTGTTTGCTCTATGAAACGGATTTATGTGTTGTGTTGTTGGTTTCAGTCAAAGCCTTCAAGCGGCAGATGTTTGGATGTCGGCTGCTACTGCGGCAATGCACGGCTGACGGCTGCTTGCATTCGTTAGTTTGGTATTTGTATTTATGTTCTCTTAAAGCCCTTCAAACCAAGATCTAATTGAATGTATCAACAATTCGGCTCATTTTGAAAATCTTTCTAGTCTAATTTTTCCCTTGAATCGTATGAGACGATGGCTCACAGACGGCTTCTGCCCGAGAATAAGGGCCTTTATAATGTGAGTTCCACCCTAACCTTTATTCACTATGATTTTTATGTCTTTTGCAGATTTTCGCACAAAAATTTTTTACCAAGAAAAATGTAGTTCTAGGAAAATCTAGCTTGTCATGCGTCTAGATTTAGTGCTACTATTTCTTGTTTACCATCAACAACTAATTGTTTGTCTTACAGTTAAACAAATTGTACTTTATACCAAAACCACATCCTTTAAACGATGGAATTGGAAGAAATCTCCCCAATGCCTACAAAAAATTTTATGAAGAGTTACTGCAGAAGCCCTCTGCAGTACATCACATACCTGTTAAAGAAAGATACCAACGAGACCCAGAGACAGGAGTTGTGTATGCAACAATTTTATTAACTGTGTGAACTCTTTTTGTCAACATGTATTTATTTCTTTTATATACTAATGTGTCTGTTATCAATCTGAAACAGAAAACGTCTTCAGGATGATCCACCTCCGCTTTTTTTCCCCAAAGCATTTCATAGAGGTTTGTGGGGTGGAGCTGCTGTTATCAAGGGCTTCTCTCACCCACACTTGAAGCTTCCAAGGATTCCAAGATATTGGATCCCTAAGTTGGAAATATCTGTTGTGTACAGTGAAGTATTGGACTTATACATTACATCTGCTGTGACAAAGAGAACTATTCAGCTGATACACAAGCACTATGGATTTGATCACTACTTGCTACAGGTAAAGGATTGTAATGTTTTATCGACAATGCCCTTTTTGTACAGCTTTGTTTGACAACTTCTTTGCATGGTATTCTCAGACTCCAGCATGTGATCTCAAATCTGATTTAGCTCTTAAAATTAAGAGGAAAATTTTACTTGCTCTTGATAAGAACGAACTTCCGCACTCTGATCCAGAGAAGAGGGACCAAGTCTATAATACGTATAAGCATTACTTAGAAAAGGTCTGTTATTCAGCAGTCACTTCCACTAACAGTAAGATGTGCGTTTTCACGAGATTTATTTTGATATTTGTTGGTGGGATTGCAGTATGATACAGAGTATATTCAATGGTATGGTCTTAAGATCCATGAAGCTGTTCAAAAAATGCAATATGAAGAAGAAAAAGCTAAAGGACCAATTCTACCTCTTAAACATTTGTATAGAAAGGAATATTTGGAGGAATTGAAAGCTGAACAAGAGCAGTGAGTCTTCTACACTTTGGAGCCATGCAACAATTCTGTGGCACTAAATATTTCATTTTTTTCTAATTTTAACCGTTGCTTGTTTTCCAGGAAACAAGAAGCTCAACCGGCTGTACCTGAAAATGCAATTACATCAATGTTCAACAGGCTGAACCCCTTTAAGAGGAGCAAATAATGGAGTGTATTTTGCAATTTTCCTTGATGGATATGAAGCAAAATTGTCCCTTGATATACCTCACTTTTAGAGGTTGTGCTAAACTATGATGCAGAACAACATTAAAAGTAGTCTACGTTGATTTATTGATTTAAAGATGACTTTTATTTCACCAATATGGCAATCACACATTTACGCACAAATAACATTTTTGATACAATTAATTAATTATCCAGGATTATCATGGGAACAATATGAATAATCCCTCAGTCTTTCTCATCAAACCATTTGCACTACAATTTACTATAAATAGCTACTATAAATTAATTTTATCTTCATCAACTGATAAGTAAAATTTGCTTGCTGAAGGTATCAGGTTAGAACAGTACACAGTGTAGACAAGTGATCAGAAGATTGAAGATTGTTACATGTGGGCCTATCAAAGGAAATAAACACAATCAATATTTGAAAAGGATACGCAGTCAGTAGAGGAAATTGTTAGAGACACATCTAGACTACATTTAAAAAAAATTGAAACACTTAAGCTTGCCACACACGCTAGACAGACGTGTACAACTTTAACATGATACCATCAAATCCAATGTAATATAATAAATAGGGTAAAACTCAAAAAATTGAGTCAAGTTGCTCCACATTTAAGCTTAAAGAACAAAACTTCCTCTGTACATTACATATAAACATGTTATTTACAAGTGGTAAGTTAAGGCTGCTTGTTTGTATCTCTCTTTACTTAATACTGTCAAAAAAAAAACAACACATGCTAATATATTTCTAAAATAAATGTTTTCTTTTAAAGATGTCAGCAACACAATTAATAATTGAAATTTTGGTACTTGTGACCTATTTGGGCTGCTGACTTACAGCACAGCATCACTAAACTCCTTCATACATAACTAAAAGAACCTCTTAACTAGAACTGCAAACTACTGCTTAGTTTCTGAAACAACTCTGTTCTGCTAATTATGTTTGAAAAGTCTGAGGAATATAGGAGCACCTTCCTCTGCATTTGATACAGTAAACTGATTACAGCTAATTGAGCCCTTACACCTAGCCATGTGAGCCCTTTCTTTTGACTACAATATTAAAATAGGGAGCAGAAATTAATTAAAATAGTAATGGTATTGTGAGTGAATTACAAACAGTTTATTTAATCTGGGTGGAAAATTTATCGAAACATTAACATATAAAATGAAAATTAGATATTAAAAACGCAACTTTCTTGAATACTAAATGAGATATGAAGAGAGGGAAGAAATAATGCAGATAAAGGTAAGGAAACAATGATTGTTCAGTGTTATTAGCTGCAGACCTGTCACTCAATTTCAATGAAAATCTTCATCCATGTCTATGGACAAAATCTCAAAAATTTCTTTACTCCCAAATGAAATGCATCTTCCAATTCACATTTAATTTCAAAACAGGAATAACAATTCCTGTAACTTTCGACACAACTTAGATGGAAATGAGGAATTCTTTTCAGAACAATCAACCAAATCCTTCTGTTTCAATGTCCGAATATTAATACTGAAAAATGCCAGCAAACTACATTAAGCCAGTAGTTAAAACAAGCACTAGCTAAAATGTTTGTACCAGTACTATTAATAGAGAATCTAATCAAGATGAATAAATTCAGTTACAATCTCTAAAGACCAGCACTCAATATACAGTTCCTCCAAATTTGTCACAGCCATTAGGTTTTCATTTATATAGCTTAAAAAGAGAAGTAATTTATGACTTTGATCAGCAAAGGCAATGGACAACTATTCATTTAAATAATAACAATTATTTACAAAATTTACTTATTTTCAAGATTGTATAGCCTCTTTTCCTAACAATAATGAAAGACATGATATAAAGTGTGTAGCCTACAGTAAAGATTTGAAAGAAACTGTGAGTTTGCTTTTCCTACGATTAACTGTTCTTCAACAGAATGACATTTTGAAAGAAATTGGAGAGTACCTCATACCCCCAAAAGTAATGAAGACTTTGGTAAACGCAATATTTGATGACTTATTTCAAGTTAGGACAGGTTTGTGCACAAGTGGGGCAAGTATAACAAAACCTCAATATGAGGCATATACAACACGATGTATAACAATCATCAGGAACAGTTCACAGTCACAGGAAGTGATGAACCCTGACCCTAATATCACATTCCATGTGGTAAGGCTGAAGTGTGTCCTTAGACAAGGACCAAGTTCAAATAGTACATGAAATAGGAAGATTTTGGTTTACCGCATGTATGGTTGCTCAGGATGAATCTAGAATTGAAACACATGCAAATGTTAAGGCAAGAAATTTATGTCCATTGAAATTTAAACACTTTATCGATCATGGCAGTACCTAGCTGTGGTGTAAGGTAGGGAGGCTGTGATGGAGAGCTGTTGCTGTAGTGAGGTTGTGGCCCCGGAGTAGATAGCAAAGGAGCACTGCCGGAAGTCATTAGCACTGGTTCAAGTTGTGGTTCTAAATGTGGGGGTGCAATTCTATCTTGGTCCAGTCCTGGTAAAAAGATAATGGCATAGCTTTCAAAAATTATAGAGATAGATTAATAGGTACCAATAAATTATTTTTAAAATTAACCTTCATTTGAAAGTGGCTCGAGTCCTTCAGCAATGGTGAGATGAGGCATCCCTTGAAAACCATTTAAATCCATGTTGCAGGTATAATATTCCTGATTTGAGGAGTTACTTTCATTTAGCAGGACTTGTGAAACCAGTTCTGGTGCACTACTAATTGATCCATGAATATTTGAATAGCTATCAGGAGATACTTGATGTTCAGCATAAGAAGCAGATGGCTGAGCTACATATGCTGCACTTGAGATGTAAGCTTGGTTTTCTGAGTAAGGCCCAGGGACATATGGTGAGGCAGTGGTAGAGGAAACACCAATTGAATCAGATGACACAGTTTGCGGGAGAACTGAAACAGCATAACAGAAAAAATTGAAAGAAACAAAGAATTCAAGAGCATATGCACGTATAAGGAAACATATCAATTTTGTGACTAGCTGGACTCCATTTTCTATTGAGATAGACGATTAACATTACAACTTTCAACAAAAACACCACCTCGGACAGAGGAAAAATTCTGCAAATTATTAAGCAGAGGGTGTAAAACAAGCAAGCATGGGAGACTGTCGGGAAGATGACGAGTGAGGATGCCTGAAGAATGACTAACAGAAAAAAAAAAAGAAAAGATTCTAGCTAAAATACAAATTAACAGCTATTCCTTTAAGGAAAAACAAAACAAAAATACAGCAGAGTACCAAAGTCAATTGTTACTTTTGATCAAATACTGTGATTACAAATTTAATCAAAGTGCAATGAAGCAAAATTTTAAAAACAAAAAGGCCAAGGTCATGAGTTTTATATTTGATGAAAATTCTCAAAATATCTTTTAGATAAAGGTGCGTGGACACGAATTTCTATACATTCATACCTGTTTCAATCTGTTGACTGCACATTTCGGCTGGCATGCTGGACGGGATGTTTGACCCACTGTTCTTGTCCATAGCAGCATGCAGGTACTGAATGTGGTTGCCAATCTGGCTGCCACCCTGCAGGGACCCTGGAGAGGAATACCCAGCCACAGACAGCTGTTGAGACTGATGTGAAGTCATGGGAACAGGTGGTGGATGTGATGAAGAAACAGCAGCTGAGGTTGTATAAGTGTATGAAGGGTCATATGAAGGTTGGTAAGATGAATATGGAGGGTATGATCCAGTAAGAGATGACATAGGTGGTAGTTCAGTGAATAAAGAGGTAGTGGGTATGGGTTCTGCAACAGGTAAGGCCACAGTCTCACATGGAGCCACACTAGGCAGAGGTGACAATAATATTTGGGCAGATGAACAATCTTGAGAAGATGTGATAGGATATGAAGATACTGGTTGATACAAAGGGGGTGAGACTGTTTTGGATGAAAGTTGTGATTGAGTAATAAGTGATGGTTGAGATTGGGAGAGAGATTCTGGCGTGCAAATGGGAGGATTTGAAGGGTTAGGATTGATTTGCGATGAAGGAGTGGATTGGGTTGATGGGTAACAATTAGAAACTGTTGAAGATGCATGAAGGTATGGCACGGTGTGTTGATGAAGTTGGTGAGTATTAGGTGCTGGATATGATATATCAGTATGTACTGATGTGGAAGGTAATGTTGAAGTACTTGTATTATCAGCCTGTGGCTGAGGGCGACTTGAGATTATCAACGGTGGCGACATAGGTGTTGGAGTTACTTCTGCTACAACGACAGAGACACTGTCAGGCGACTTCCCATCTTCCGATTTCTTTTTCAACTGATGGTCTTGTGTGGCATTTGGCAGCTTGTCAGCCATCATATTAGCTAGAGCAGCAGGTGATGATTGAAAAGGTCTAGATGTGACTGATAAAGCAGAAGGAGCTTGTCTGACAATGATCTTGTTTGGATGTTGCCGTCTAGGATTAGAAGAATTAGCTGAACGAGGCTGAGCTTGAAGTAGGACTGGTCGTACCAAAGTTTTTGGAGCAGTTTGCCTAAAAATCACAGCTTGGCCACCTTTCAGCATTTGACCAGCTGGAGGTCTCAAACAATTTGTTCCAACTCTCTGTGTCCCTGGTCTCACATAACTTCGAGATGCGACTGCTCGCACTGCTGTCTCTGGTATCACATGCTCCACCTTGTGCCCTTGAGCATTCACTCTCTGCACACTCACTGACAATGCATTATTTTTCATGTTTTTACTCAGAGTTGCAAGTGGGTTCTTCACAGGGTTCTGCTGTCTGGGCTGTGACATCAATGCAAATTTGAAAGCAGCTCGTCCATTGGGCACATTTCCACTCTTGTGAAGGATGGAGATGCTCGGGGGCACCTGTGTTGGGATTATCCTACCACCCACCTTATACACGGTTGCTGTCCTCGCAATAGGGCGGGGAGGTTGGCCTGGCACACTCACTGGTCGAATTTGAACACTACCATCGCCTAAAGTTATTGGTGGTAAATTACCTTTGTTAACTGCAGCTTGAACAACTTTAGAAACACCGCTGCTGCCAACTACAACTGAATTTGGTACTGTCACTGTTCTGCTCTTGGGGAAAGCTGGTGTTAGGGGTCTTTGCAAAGTAGACATTTGTGATGGTGAGATAGCCATGGCAGCAGCTGAATGTTTAACAATCTTGGGAGTAGTGCGCTTTGTCTTCCGCTTTGGCTGCTCATGCCCCATGTTCCAATCCTCATCTAATTCTGGTCTCTTGCGGATGTCACGCCTATAGCTGTACTCATGATCTCCTCTTCCATACTCTAAAATTAAAATAAAATTTATTAAAAACACATTGAGTGAAAAAGTATGGTGCACAACCTCATCACATTAAGCCTTCACTACCAAAGGAAAATAGAATTTTCTATCTAGTGAATTTCATACCTATTTCCCCAGCTTTTTCGTAGAGATCATTCAATCCATCAGAATCTGCTACAACTTCATCCTCTGACTGGAAATCTTCTTCAAAATACTCAGGGAAATATGGTTCCTCAACCTTCTTTGATGAGCTACTGTCATCTGCTGACTCTTCTTTTTTGAAAGATAATTTATCTGTACATTCTTCCTTTACATTATATTCATGTTTGGTGTCATCACATTCCTGTTTAATACCATCACTAAGTTGTACTTCATCAGATCCATTGCCAGTTTTCTTCTTATGAATTGGATGCCGTTTTGGGTTTTTCTTTGGACTATCTTTTCCAGCTTCCTGACTGTAGAAATTAACAACAATTAGAATAAGTAGACATTACATTACAGAAAAACAACAAGCAGTAGCAGAATTGGTTGAATAAATAATGATAGGATAGTATACCTCCTGAGCACAGCATCAGGGTGAGGAGCAGGCTTATGGTGATGAGGATCTTCTGGATGACAGCCATAGTCCTTCCCTTCTTTCCAAACCTCATAACGGTCTGGTTGAAACCGTTGGACAAACAGATCCATATTAATTTTAACCATATCATCCCTGAAAAATTTAAGATTTTAGAAATTAGTTTTAGGCATACATTATGATGTTCACACGGCTAGAGGGAAGCAGAAATGCAATTGTATACCTGCAGTTACACTGGGAAGCTCGCTTCCCATATTCTACCCATCGCTCTGAGGCAAAATTGGTTGATTCAGCACAATTGAATCCATGGTTAAACCCAGAATGATAACCAAAGGGAAAAGTTATTATAAATTCACCTTCCTCTTGAGTAATCTGTTTTAAATAAGAAAGCATGTGTGGTGATTCTCATTTTTCACAGTGCAAGAAAAGAACCTAGTTGACAAACTGTGAACAAACCTTATTATAAGGAATAGAATGATGCCTTAAAACTTGTGGGGATATGATTGACATTTTGTGCCTGAGGAAGGCAGGACAGGCTTTCTGATCTGGAAAGAAACCATCAGCAAGTCTTTCCAAACGTCGCCCATGCTCTGGGGGAATTGCATACCTACAACATTCGTAAAGTACAACAATTAAGAATAAATGACAATGTGTTAAACATGTCAGAGACAGACCATTAAAATAAAATAAATAGTATACCAAGTTTTAGGAGCACCAAAATGAAGATAATTTATACTGTACAGATCCATGTCCTCAGTGTGCCATGCAAATGTGGTCTTCCACATTCCAAAATAGAGGTATGCTGTTGTTACTCCATCAATACTGATGTGGTACTCATCACTAACATAGTCCAGTATGGTGCCCAGTTTGTTGATGTTCCAGTTCTGTAAAGTAATAGATACCTCAGTAACAAACAAACAACACAGAAGGGCCACGGGGAGAAGATTGCTACACAAATAAAGTTACCGTTATATCTGGATCTGTGAGAGTTCCCGAAACATCTGCACCATAGATTGGAGGGTTGTAAGTGATATTTTTCCAATATCTTCTTTCTAGTTCTTCATAATCCTTATGATGAGGAGTAGCATATCTAATAGAAGTAAATGCACAGTATTATATACAAAATTAGAAAATAAAAAAAGAAAACAAATACTTGAAATAGAGCTATACAACATACTTCGATGAATTAGCCATGTCATGAAACTGTTGGACAGTCATTTTTTTCTTCTGAACATTATATTGCTGGTAGAGCCCCTGCTTGCCATTTACAACTTGGCAGATAGGAGCGGGTATTGTGACATTAATATCTTTCAGGTCATATCCAGCTTTTCTTGGGACCCATTCTTTGGGAGCAACAACCTTAACAAAACAGATGTTTTTATTTTTTTAAGGTGGGGAAGACAATCATGCTATAAAAAATACACAACATTGAAACTACATATAGCAGACCTTGGCAATACCACCCCTGTGAGCTCCCTTAGATTCCATGTAGTGAATGTACTTGGCAAAATCTTTAAACTCTTCATAGGTGGGTCGGAAAACCATTATTTTTGGCTTTCCCGGTCCCAAGTTGTCTCCATCCCTTTCCTCCATTTTCCCACTTTTCTTACCTGAAAATACAGAAAACTATTTTGAAAATGAATCCATTTATGCAAATGAAAAATTTAGTAGCAGATAACAAAGGACTCTGACAATCCCAAAATCCCTGAAAATTTCAGTACAAGAAACTGTCATATCTTAAACAAGAAACTTAATTAAGTCCACCTATAAATTATAAATGAATAAGACAAGGTATAATATTAAATCAATCCTCTTGCACACATTAATGAATAAGAGTTGACAAAATAAAAAGCAGCAAACAATCCAATCAAAATATGTGAAACAAAATATTCTTGTTTACAAACCACCAACTATACCAAAGACAACAAAAGGTCACTGACTTCACAGCTTTGGATTTCAAAACTCAAACATAAGAATCGAATCCAAATGAAGAATGTCAATGGTGTTTTTGAAGCAAAGTTATAGAGCGAATTTCTTAATATTTCATATTAACAAGAAGCCGACCCTTAACCTAAACAAGCGTTCAGCCAAGATGTCAGCCAGTTCAAGATGGCGTTCTTAAACCGAAAAACCACGAATATATTGAAACACAGAAGTTTACAGCAAAAAACTTCAAAGCAACTAATAAAATATATATAAGATACTACAAAGCTAGCGACCTAAACATGCTGTAAGTGATTTTTCTCAGGTGCAAATGGCTTCACACAGGTAACACATGAAGCCCTTTGCATCATTCACTTTCGAGAACCTTTGACGCCAGTCGTAACCAGACATTAACAAGGAGAAAAATAAATTGAACTAATTCATAGTTCTTATTAAAATTGGATTTTGATCTCACTTCAAAATCTTTTCATGATTCAACGCTGCCGCCAGGGCTGCGAGATTTCACGAACTGCAATCACAACAGGGAAGGTAGGCCTAAAAACAAGGAAAATGGCGGGGTGCCTTCTGCTTGCCGGAACCACTAATGCGGGGGCGCGCATCCCGAGGGGCCGAGGGGTGAGCTGGGCGGAGCTGGGGCCATGCAATTAGTGAGAAACGTGCGACGCAACAGCGGGGGTAGATAGGAAATGAAGAGGGGCGGGTGGAGAGGGAGAAGGCGTGGGGGCGGGGGGGGGGGGGGCAAATGCGAAGCAATGGGATAAAGGGGACAGCGAGGGGGATGGGAGTACAGCTGCAGCAGGGATCTTCTCATCGAGGTAATTACAGCTTGGGAGTTGGGGAGGGGGGCAGGGGGCAGTAGGTGCCTGTCGATAACGACACACAAACGGAACGGTGCGATATCGAACACGACGAGGGCAGCACACGGATTATCTGGGGCGACGGGTATAGTCAGAAAGGTGGCGAGAGGTAAAGAGGATACGGAAGGTATGCGCAACAAGGGGAAGAGGAGACGGGGCAGATCGCGTGGGAATAAGAGTGAAATAGAGAACGGGACGGCGTGCCTGACGGCGTGCCGTGGGAGTGATCGGCTGTGACTGTTTGTCGGAGGCAAACAAGGGCGCGGCGCAGGTTCCGCAGACTTCAGGGGTGGGGGAGTGCGGTATAAGTGGCGCGGAATCATCTTTGGGCATTATTGGTCGCCTATTATTACAGTCTCAGCCGAGCCGCTGGCTGGTGGAGCGGATATCTTTCCAATGGAGATCGGCGGAGGGAGAGGAGGGCGGGGCCAGCGTTGGCCTCAGACCGTGGCGTGTTTGCCTGTTTGCTCCCAGTCTGCTGGCTTTTTCTTCTGCTCAATTTTGTGGGGATTAATTTCGCTGGAAAGCCTCCTGCGACACTCGGCTCACGACTCGCAAAGGCGTGGGGATCGCCATTGCAAAGGTCTATTCGTTTCGTCACAAAAAAAGGAGCTCCGGCGAAAGGGTTTAGGAGGACGTGAAACACGACAGTGCGGACAACTCGACACAACTTGGTGCAATGTGGCAGGCTTTTCGAGTTGACCTACGACAAACATTGTTGAAATCACAATCGAACCTGTACGGGGGCAGCCCTTTTCGGGTCAAACACGTTGCGGAACTTTTCTGGGCACCGGCACCACTTCGAGATGGGTGTTGCGGTACTTCGGGGGAAAGGCGACGTCATAAATAAATTCAGGGCAAGCTTTGGGTGCGTCAGTATAGCTATCAGCCCCCTTGCCCCCTTACTTCTTCCTCTCACCGCTTTCTTTCCTATCTCGTGGTTCCGGTGCGCTCGGTTGGTCGACCCGCAACGGTCCCTGCGTGGCCAAGGGGTTGCGCGCGCGCGCGGCCCGCTCCCGGCCCCTTCCCGCCGTGTTGACTTAGATTAATGGAAGGGAAAGGGCTTTTGCCCCCCCCCCCCCCCTATCCGGAGGAGCCTGCGGCCTGCGGCCCGCCAGCCCTTTCCACCGCCTTCTTGCGAGCCGCCTTTCGGGAACCATTCCCCCATCCTCCCCCCACCCCCCGCCCTCGCGCTTTCATCATCACACCCGATCTCTCCCCGCGCCGCGTCGCCTGCGCGCCCCTCCAGCCGGGCGGGTAGGCGACCCGGCGCGCGCGGCCGCTGGGCGGGCCTGCAGGCCGCGCAGGCGGCATGCCCACCGCCCCGCACAGGGCCCTGCGCGGAGCCCAGACGGGAGCCGAGTGAGTGTTTATTGAGGTGAGAGGAGAGGTGGCGACGCACGGAGAACGCAGAGGGCATTGCAGAGCGCCGCAAGGTAGCGCTGCGACCCCTAGCCGCCCCGAGCTCAAAGCACGGCCTGGGTCTGGACGGGCGCCAGGTCCGCAAAGCATCCCCCTACCAGCGCTGCGGGCTCCAGTGGCTGCCTGGTGTGGCGGAGCGG